TGACCACCTTGAACCCATGGAGCTGGCGGAACATCAAAAAAGTTCCCTTTTTAATCTCAAGGAGGACAAGTTAACTACAGCACACATACTGAAGCAAATGCTTACATTAAATGGTGCTTTTTCATTTGTTGTTAAGGTAAGCATGGACTCTTCGTGTGAAAATGCCTCTGTCATTAAAATCATGGTGAAAATGCGTTTTCAGAAATGTGTTTGCGGTTTATGTTTGCATTATACGCATGTTGCAATTTATTCTGTGATCTGGTTCCCCTTATCAAAAATTTTACTTTCCTTCAGCCTTACGAACAGTTCATCGTTGATGTCCATAATGCGACTTTAACATCAATTTTGTTGCTATTTTGAAAGCAAAAGTTTGAGCTCGGGAACAACTCGAACTCCAGTAAACAGGAAATGTTTGAAAACGACTTTAACGAAACTTTAAATAGACGTTCCACAGAATGAGACAAATCGGAACCACGCCCCCTCAAACAATAAATTTGAACATCGAGGAGGGCCCCCCCCCCCCTCCGCCCTCCCCAAAAAAGTCAATTATTGGATTAGGTCACAACAGGGAAGCGTACTTTACCTCGTCTTGCATCTGAAGAAAATAGCATTCAAATTAAAATATTAATTTATAAGACTGTAGATTTTGTTGCGTTGTGAAATTTTACTTTGACAGGACGAAATATTAAATAACCCGCTCTCCCCGCATACATTGTTGTCCTTTTTTTTTCCAAAGCACCCCATGTGTCCCCCTTACCTGCGTTATATGCTGCCAGCTCCGCTCCGGGCCCAGGGCTCTTCCTCTTCCTGGGCCGGCCTTTCTGCACTGTCCCCACGCCGTTGAAGTAGGATAGTCCGAGCGTGTTGGCCGGGCCCAGGCCTTTGTGTGGCACCACGTCCGTGTGATTAAAATGCGTCTGATAATCTCCCTGGATGAGAGTCTCAAAGTGTAGCCGACAGTACACCAGACTGTCCTTCATGCCAAAGTGGTCCCCGGTGGTCAGCATCTTGCTGCAGGTAGTGCAGGTGAAGCAGTTGAGGTGGTAGACCAGGTCCCGGGCCCGCATCACCATCTCCGAGGCAGAGATGCCGAGATGGCACCGAGCGCATCTCTGCACCGAAAATCTTCTGCGGGCAACACAGAACCCCATCAGCGGCTGGACACGCACACGAGTTCGTGGAGGGCCCGTGACTGCTCTGACAGCAACTATAGTGGACGCGACACTCACTGAGCGTTCAAGAGACCAAAGTTTTGCGCTTCCGCCACGTCTTTAACACGGTGGGAATTTTAAATGCATGCAGTTTGAGACAATATACCTTTTCGTTTGCTCTTTTGAAAACAACAATAAAACATTCGGGTTAATAAAACATTTTTCTTTCTTTCTCTCTTGCTTTATTTTTTCCACATCAGTGTAAAAATATTACCGGACTGTCGTAAAGGTGATCTGTCAAGTTAAGCGAAGGCATACCAGTAAATTGACTTTCACTTTGTTTCTGTTTCTGTCTCTTCTGTATTCTGGGTATAGTATTCCCTTTCGTCGTTTCGCTTGTGTGTTTCAGCCTAAACATCACACACGAATAACAACCCCAAAGCGTGGATTCAAATTAACGGTAGAACGTTTAAATCATGCTTTTATACTTTTTTTCTGCACCCTTAAAACTGCTGGGTCAAAAATAACCCACTTTTGGTTAATAATATGAATAATGAGAAGAAGAAGAATTGGACCGACCCGCTTCTTGTGTCAATTTGATCAAACTTTGGATTGTTTTGTATCAAGCCAGCCAAATTCTTGAGAGTTATTTTGCCCCCTCCCGCCATGTTTGTTTGTTGTTTTTATCGGGTCCAGTATTTGGCAAATATTTGCATATTAACCCAGCAGTTTTAACAGTGTGGCTGTATACAGTGAAGTATCAGTTATTTAAAGCAAAATGCCGCCTTTCGGGCAAATTGAATTGCACGCGTAATCTGATGTGTCATGCAACGTGGCCGCGGGGCCCTCCTACCTATAATAGTCTTCCTTGCAATAGATGCTGCCGTCCTTGCTGAAGCAGGTGAGCTCCGACTCCAGGTTGAGTTTGCACTCGCAGCACTTGAGGCAGCGCATGTGCCACTGCTTGTCCACGGCCAGCAGGTAGTAGCGGTCCGCAATCTTCCTGCCGCAGCCTGCGCACAGGGCCACGCGCTCCGTTGTCAGGCACGGCATGGCCTGCGGTCAGCGTGGAACATACACCAGGACACAGTCAGCGGGTCAGACAAGTCGAGAGTTTTTGCAACATCTCCTGAAAAACGGACCCTATCATATAAAGGACAACTCATGGAATCCGTTCGTTCAATGTTCGATTTGAGCACGATTCAATCCTCACTATTATTATGCACAGATCAAAAAAAAAGAATAGCTCTTGATTTTAAAACGGCAAATCGTCGAATTCTTACCCCGTCAACTTAAAAATTGGATAAAAATTAAACATGCCGTAAATGGATTTAAAATGATGCATCGTAAAAAACATGACTGCAGTCAACATTTGCTCTTATAATAATAATAATAATAATAATAATAATAATAATAATAATAATAATAATAATAATAATAATAATAATAATAATAATAATAATAATAACCATTATTATTGTTATTATTATTATTATTATCAAGCAAACAATTCACAAAACAGCACAGCTCACATTTAGATATAATTTCAAATTGAATGCGTAGTTCTATTAAACGACTACAATTTGAAATTAAGTTGCTTTGTGAAGTTGCTCTGCCGGGCTCTCGTGAAAGAAGATATAAATGTAGACAGACGTAAGTTAACTGTTTATTTCACTGAGAAGAATTACTCGCAGACAAATTATTTTTGTGATCGTTTCAATTTTGGCCTTGAATGTTTCTCTTCGGAAATCAACACATGTAACGAGTCATTTTCCATTTTTTGACATTCGATTAATAAATTTTTTTTTGACAATCGATTTATTCTTATGTTATTATTATTATTATTATTATTATTGCTATTATTATTATTATTGTTGTTGTTATTATTATTATTATTATTATTAATAGAGTTGTTGTTGTTGTTGTCGTTGTTGTTGTACATGATTTGTATTGTTTACCGGCCAATCCTGATTTGATGCGAGTATTTTTTTTTCCAGATTAGCCTTTCTCATTGCTTTCGATGTCGGAGTCCGTGAAGGAAGTTTGCTCCTCTCAAAGCCACTAAAGCACTACAACATCAATTATTTGATACTTTTCGATACTGTCTGCAGTCAAATGTCCAGAGGTCGCCACGCAGTGTGCTGGAAACAAGCCGAAGGGATGAAATAAATGGCTCCTACCGTCTCCGACTCGCCCATATCGATAGCTGAGCTGATGGCCGCTGACTCGCTCTTTCCTCTCCGGTCTATTTCTTCCACCACGCCGTGCACGTCGCCTCCGGGGAGGCCATGGAAAAGCATCGTTGCCGCCGATGGGAGAATATTATAACTATTCTCCTCGGATCTAAAAGCCAAGATGTCCATCAGAAGAAAAAAAGAAAAGAAAAAGCCACTTGCGCTTCTGTCCTTTATTTTCTCAGGCTTTTCCTTGTTGACGTGACAAGTTGAAAATCCAGATCAGGGAGGGAAAAATGAGGGGAAATTGGACACGTGTTCTCCTCACTACTTATCATCTGCCAATGGAGAACCTTTCCTGGATATCATTCATTCTCAATAAGAGCAGTAATTCGCAACTAACAATGAAGATTATGAATTTTGTCTCCGTCGTGATATATATTTTTTCTATGACCATCTATTCTTTCTACCATTTCTGCTTGAAAATAAAAACGTACCAAACGGCCAGGCTATGTTGCTCTTGGTTCCGATGTGTCCGCCACCAAGCCAGGGAGTGAGATTTCAGCATTCGACAGTCTCAAAATACCTCCCCTCCACTCCAGAATACAAATTTACTCTGTGCAGGTTTGAAGATGAGTAGCGGAGACTCTCCGCATCTCCCAATTAAGAAAACAAATCAACCAACATAAAAAAGAATCCAAATGATAAAACGGCGCGCGGAGCTTTCCTCTTCTCCGTTTGGTTCACCAGTCCAGAATGTTATGTCAAGCTACATGTAGGTGACATATTGGAAAACGAAATTTAAAAAAATGATTTGCATCATAGAGTTCCCTCTGAGACGAGCGTTTTCTCCCCTCTCTATTCACGGTTGCCTGTTTACGTTGCTGTTATGTCTCCTGCCAGAGAGAGGCCGCATAACATGTGCGTACAAGAAGAGGAGGAGCTGTCGCTACGTGTTTCTTGCCCCCCTTCCGCACCCCCTCCTCAACCGCCGAGCCTCTTTCTCACGTCCACTTTGGACTCTTGCTCCTTATCAACTAGGCCCAGTTGCGTCATGACGCGCCGGGTGAGTTCATTGGCTGGGCCGCCGTCATCGAAGTGCTCCGAGTCACTTGAACAACCGAGAAGGCTGCGTGCATGGGAGCCTCACGTCTTGTCTCGGTTAGCCTGGACCGCCACACACACCGCCAACTGGAGCTCAAATGCTGCGAAGAAATAAGAGAGTCGAGTTGTGCGCACTGAAGACGTCTGTTGGGACCTTTTGGTCTCATGACGCACATCTGCGCTACAAGTTGCTCCCAACAACCTCACCATGGCAGCTTTACTTGATGATTAATTTTTCGTTTCTTCCACACTACTCTTTATATAGTCTGGAATTTACATTTTTATTTAAGGTTTATGTTAAAGCAATCAAAAACACCAATGCACACCAATTCATAGTTGGCATGGCTGTCATATTATTATTACGATTATTATTATTATTATTATTGTCAAGATTTTCAGTGTTAGTATAATAACATGTTATTTTGGTTGAAAAAAAATAGGGCTCATAAATATAATCTGTAGCTACCATCGGGTGTCTCAATATTTAGACGTCCCGCAAATTTACCCTTCCAATGAAAGGGAAGGGGGAAAAACTGTCACGTCCCGGACTTGATTTAATTGTCATTTGTGCATTTGTGAGCAGACAGCGAGCAGTTGGTTTAGCAACAGGGACTGCACCGTCGAGAGGAACTGATCCACTCATTCTAATTAGCTCTCCGCTCTTAATTGGGCGGGGACGAGTGGACGTGGTCATCACTGCTCACAAGGAGAGGTTTGATCCGGCACGCTGGGCTAAAACGACAGGTTATCACATCATCTCGTTGCCTTTTGTTCTTCCAAAATGACGTCTAAAAAAGGTTGCTGCAACGCCGATAATACAGTAAAACCGATTGAGAGTTATTTTTGGTCTGCGCATTTCTCGTTTAAAACAATATTATAATTCACAATTCACAGTTTTCCGAGTGTTTTCAAATTATTTGCTGCCCCCCAGCCTTTCTCCAAAACACCCGCTGTCCCCATGTCCTCCACATAAAAGCTGGCATTTAGGCTATTGTGAGGTTTTACAGCACAAATATGATGTTAAGCTTCTAAATCCTTATTCAAACCACCTGGCGTAATACCCCTAATTGAATACATGCATATTTATCGTCTGGATTTTCCAGCCGCTATATGGCTGTCTTTATACATTAAACATTGCGGCAGAGGGCATGTCTGCAGGCGTGTATGAAATATGATATTAAGTTGCCGTGTAGGGCCTTAAAGGATGTGGGGCGTTTGTTTGTACCTCTAGAGTCAGGTCTGCATGTTTTCGAGGATTACATTTAAAATGAGTTAAGGATGAAAAAGGTCACGTTTTACAACCGAGATTATACGGGCGATATCACTGATTAAAATGGTGATGATAGATATCTTGTCGATTCGAGGTTTCTACCTGGATGTAAGATGCAACAGAACAGCGGCATCAAGCTTGAGAAGCGCTGCTGTTCAGAGTGCCACGACATTGAAAAAGTTAAAGACCTCTCTCTCTCTCTCTCTCTCTCTCTCTCTCTCTCTCTCTCTCTCTCTCTCTCTCTCTCTCTCCCCTTCAACATTGTGTATCGCATCGGACGCATTCTATGCCACAGTGTGTAAAACATTATTAAAAAGATAAACTGTCAATCGAATATGTGTCTGCACGATGTAGGACTAAACTTTTGGTCGGTTTGAGAGTCAGCACCTGACCAATATTCCATCCCCCCCAAATTAAGAGCATAGAATATTCATTCATGATACATGTTTTATATTTCCTATTTTTAAATAAAATCCTGAGATTGTATGAAAAGACAGTTTACGCATTATCAGCTCTCTGGATGAAAGACTGAAATAATCATTCGTTCGTCTTCACCACTATAACTTGGTTGCCAAGAGATAGATAGTAAATTATTTGAATTATATTGAACAACACAACACAAATAACACGAGTTCATTGAAAACTAAAACTCACACACTCACTCACATGCAAACACACGCGTACACACACCCACACACATACACTCGCACGCACACGTGCATACATGCACAAACGCGCGCACACGCACCCTTCCCCCTCCCCCCACACACACACCTGGAGTATCTTGCATTGAGGCGAGGCTAAACATAGAGGGCACCAGAATGATTATTGTTTTATTCACTGGAAAATAAATAAGGCTGATGCAGCCTTGTTCGCTTCGAGGTTGAGCGTTATTACCACGTCATTATCACTCTTATTTCAACAACAAAAGTTTGTTAAAAACGAACATCAACAAAAATGCCACAACAACTAAGGAGACCCAGTTGACGGGCGTTTTTCTCATGGGGAAACTGCTTCAATCTTTTGTGAAGTGATCTGACAAAAGTTTCAAAAAAGATGAGCTGATATGCACTTTCTGTTTAGTAACCCGTAAAACTGTTTAATTGGGTAAATCTAAAAACATGCCAGAGAGCACCAGCCCTAATGACCACTGTGAAACTAATAAACAGCGTGAGCAGCTATCTTAAAACACTTTGAGGAAAAGTGTATGCGTGTGTGAGTGTGTGTGCGTGCGCGCGCCAGTGCGTGCTTGTGCCTGCATGTGTTGGGGGTGGTGCTTGAGCTTGTCAACGACTAAAATGCTGATGCAGCTTATTACTCCTTGTCCCATAATGATTTACAAACACCGCAGCCATCAATAGCACGAATCTGCATCTCTCAGAAAAACATCACCCTCGTCAGGCTCCTGGCATCTTTTTGATCTCGCACACATTTTTAATTGTATTTTGCATAAAGGTGGCAAGCTATCGGGTGTGTGGCCTTAATGGGATGCTGCTGTGGAAGTGGGGGAGAAGGTTACACGCTCTCTGAGGAGAGCTCCGCTCGTAATTAAGAAGGGGAACAAAGCGGGAAGGACTAAAAACACATGAAAGGGAAGTCACGGATCACCTAATCACTGTACGTACGCCATCCGCACAATCGCATACACTTTGAATACAGTACAAGCATATAAGCAAGCTTTCATAAGCATAAACACACAACAGTTCAAACATCACACTCGGTGCCCCTTACACATCCATCAGCCTCCTCTCTGTAAGTGCAGCGTTCGGGATATAATGGGCAGGTAAGTTTCTTATGGGACGGAGAAGAACAGTGTGGGTTTGAACCTATCAGGTGACTGAGGCCTCTGGTTCGGCATGCACAATGGTAATGGCGATGATAATAAAACAATAACAGTGTAGTGTGATGATCTGTGTTTTTGTTTACGTTTCATGGTGCATGTCTTGCTTGTTATTTCGTATTTTTTTTTCCACCTGTGCTCATCAACCTGGTTCCGAGTGTCCCCCTTATCAGCTCCCTCAGCCACTCGTGTTTTATCCAAGTGTTCTTCTTTGTCTCGTCAGTTTGTTTGGATTGAGTTACTTGTCTTCTTTCAGTCCTTGTGGGTTCATTGTCTTTTTTGCTTCTGTTTCCATCAATATGGTTGAGGTCAATTGTCATGTATCCTTGCCGGGTCATCGTTCCATTTGTTGTGAGTTGTAATGGATAGATGAGGCCTCATTGGGCAAACTGTATTGATACTGTGTTACCACTGTGTCAGTACTGTGTCACTCTGCTTCTCAAAACGTGCTGGATCTTACATCATTGCACTGCAAGCAACAGACAATACCGCTAAGTTATATTTTTATTGTCTGTTATTAGCCTATTTCTATTTTAATCTCAGTTTAAAATGTTTTTGAAATAAACAGACAATACATGTATCATGTCTGTCTGTTTGTTTTGTTCTCAGCCACAGCTGGCGTGAAGGGCGTTTCCCTCCAGCAGGCGCACCTGTTCAGTATTTACCAATCAAGGCAGCCATGTTTTTAAGGACTGCCTAGTCACCGTTGGATTATTGACCTTGCCTGCTGTAGTACTTCGAGTGTTGTTTTCTAGACCTCTCAATATTCTCCACAGTCGCACTCCTTATTCATAGATTCTGGTTTGTTTTGTTTTTATTTTCTAAGAATAAGAATAAGAATAAGAAAACCTTTATTCGTCTCACAATGGAGAAATTCCCAATTTACAGCAGCAAAGTTATGAAAGGAAGAAAGTAGAAGAACAAAACGTAAAGCAGCTGCTGTAAAGGCAGCCACTCTCACGGCACCATCTTGAAGTCATAATGACACAATATTATCTTATTGCTTTTGATCTTTAGTTTTGCATTATTGGCTTCTTGACATTTCGTTTGTTTATTCTTGGTCATCCCTAGTACCTTGACTTTTGCCAGCGCTTTTGTTTATGCATTGTTTCTCCTGACTTCTTGTGACCAGCGATTTCTGTTTGTACTTTGTCGGTGCGCTTTTCTGGAAAGAAATATTTTTGTTCTCACACTTTGTCGAAGCCTGCATTTCTAGAATCCCGAAACATTATTCAGTTCGGTCCAGGACCTGACAACATGTGTCAATGGTAAAGAGTGAAAGTGTTGTGATTGTGAAACGATGTTGCTTATGTAGGCCCATTTGTCTCAGAGGCACAGCGTGCATAAAATGACTTTTCTATTTCCACTAAAAGTATATATTTTCAAGTGTTTTGGGGGTACAGTGATTCCTTTTATTCAGCAATTCCTGTAGCTTTGGAAAACACTCTCTCTCACTATTCATTCATTCATTCATCTTCCGAACCGCTTTATCAGTTACTTATCTCAACACTTTGTTTGCAAATTTTTCAGTTTGACAAAACAACATGGCTCTTAATTCATACATTTCATATCCGCTTTATCCTCCCAAGGGTCACTGGGTTTGCTGGAGCCTATCCCAGCTGTCTTCAGTCAGTTGGCGGGGGACACCCTGAACCGGTTGCCAACCAATCGCAGGGTATACAGAAATGAACAAACATCCGCGCTCACACTCACACTTAGGGACAATTTAGAGTGTTCAATCAGCCCGCCATGCATGTTTTTGAA